GTCTTTGAAGTGGCTCGCAGGCAAAAGATAAGCTAAGCTTTGATGCTAGCTAGCAGATAAGAGATGGAGGGATATAACGTTAACTTGAGTGTGATGAGAAAAGGTGCCTGGACTCGAGAGGAAGATGATCTTCTCAGGCGGTGCATAGAGACTCTTGGGGAAGGAAAGTGGCACCAAGTTCCTTACAAAGCGGGTATATATGTTAATGTGTATATTTAACTATGAAAGATGGATATGTGTATTGCCAGTAAAGCATTTCATTAGTGTTACAATCATACAATGTAAGACCTTTTGCTAATTGGTATCAAGAAGTTGAATGTTCTAATTTTTATTAATACTTTAGAACATGCTAACTGTCTAACGGTCATACCTGCTCTCACCTCACATAATATATGTTGTTTACATATATGGCTAAAGTGACCTCTGCATATGTGAAGAGGGCCATGCCGAGAGACTTAGTCCCTCACATAATTGTTCACGTAGAAAGATGTTGTATGAACTTTGAATTATGTATTCAGGCTTAAACAGGTGCAGGAAGAGCTGCAGACTAAGATGGTTGAACTATCTGAAGCCAAATATCAAGAGAGGAGACTTTACAGAGGATGAAGTAGATCTTATAGTTAGACTTCACAAGCTTTTAGGAAACAGGTACTAATAAATAAATAAATGTCTCTTTCAATTCCTATCGTCCTTATTAAGGACCTTGCATGAGAAGTAAATTGGGCTAGTTTTTATACTACCTATTAGTTTTACAATGGAACTTCAACTTTTTTTTATGGTATCAAAGTACGTGTGAAGCCCAACTGTCACACGTGTTCCACGTTATCCTGTTTGTGTTGTCCACGTATTTGACTTGAAAATTCACCATACATAAGGGGGTGTATTGGAGATGAGTCCCAAATTGATGAGAAGAGAAACCTTGCATTTACTTACAAGTGATTGAAATACTCCTCATATTACCAATTAATTGAACTCATGCTCTAATATTACGTTCGACTCAAATAATGCTTCTTATGGAAGATAAATATTTCTTAATGATTTTTGTTAAGTAAAGTCATTTTCATGCTTTTAATCCCTACTCGACTCAACAAACCTTTAAGATTTTGTATTCGGCCTCATTTGGTATAGAAGCTTGGATTAGAATAGATGAAACTTTATCCATTCAAAGTCTCCACAAAAAGTGTATTAGAAGGGAGAACTTTTCTTCAAGTCTAATCCCTACTTCAACCCCTATGAATAAGAATATACCTTCAACTTTGAGGTAAAATATGAATTACTTATGAAGAAAACTTATTCATTCCTATCTCCTCAAAGTGATAAGATTAGAAAGATGAAGTTTCCTTCATGTCTAATCCCATTCTAATCTCTCAACATGATCTTTTTAGGTTATGTTTGGACGAGAGATTTTCATGTCCCAAGAGATTGAAGCCAAGTTAGTAACAAATAGACGCAAAATGTTAATAGAGGAGTAACACAACATTCAATGAGTTTTTTTAAAGCATATGAGAAGGATTTACAAATTACAATCTAAAAAGCGGACGGTTTGTATAGGGCGCATGATAGACGTACGAAGAGGAAGCTTCTTCAATATTTTTTGTTTAGGAAAAATAAAGAATTACAAAATCATTGGCTATCTGAATCTTGGTTCTTCAAAAGGATCCAACTAAGAACAAATTCAAAAGAAAGTTTTTACGAGAACGCTAGGAGTAACCATTATGCTGACTCCCTTTCTTAATGCTGAACAAGTTTCTCTGTCATTATCAATGTAGTTTTCAGTAATGAGAAAACTAAAAATAAAAAATTTGTCGTAAAAATAAAATTGGGAAATCTTCGGTGTAAGATATATATAGTCTCTTAAAATATACTAGCATATAGACACACACAAAGTGTGTGAGAACATTTTTTATTTTTGTTTTTTGAAATAGAATGAGAGAGGAAAAGAGTGATAGAGAATGTGGGAGTGAGAAGTTTTTTTTTTTTTTTTTTTTTTTTAATAAATAAGAGATGAAATATGTTAGGATTACATGTAGGTGAGGCTTTAGAAGAAAAAAACAACAAAATTTGGTTGTGTGAAATTACATTTTTGCTCCATATTTCTTATTCATGTTCTGTTTTAATTAGAAGATTAAACTGGTAATTTCATATAATTTTGGTTGACAATGAGTGTTTTATTAATTAGTAGACATTAACCGCCGTGTAGAAACACCCCATTAAACGGTACTTCTCCTGTATCCCTTATTTGGTGCTCGAATAATACAAAATATAGTATAAAATAGTTAATATTTTTAATCAGATACAAGAGTACCAACACGATCTTTTCCGGATCCTTTTGGTAAGGATCCTGGGAATTCATGAATCATGTTCATTTATCGTACATTGTGTGATTAATTTTTATCAAGTACTGTTTGTGTTTAATTTTAAATAAAAATTTTAAAATGATTTCTGATCGTACGATGTACAATGAACGAACACGATTCACGAATTCTTGAGATTCTCACAAAAAGGATTCGGCAAGAATCTGGATTCACAACACTAAACACCTGATAGGACAATCAATTGCATGACAAAATAGCCAAGACTAATAATTAACAATTTTTTTTTTGTTAAATAATTAATAAAGTTCAACGTACCAAAGGAATTCAAATAGTTTTTTTTTTATTTCAAGCGTTGTAGGATGATAAATGGTTTGAACTCAATATGCAGTGGTTCAAATAATTATCTTAAGTTAATTATTATATTTTATTTGTTCAAAAAAATGTTATTATATTTTAGAGCTTAAATTAATTCTTTACCAACCTATATTGTTATGTAATAATTACACGCAGAAATGTGATTTTTGTATTAGAATTAGTTCACTACATTAAATTCTAGAGAGAAAAATGTTTATGCACTCTAACATTTTTTTATTTTTTTTATTTTTTTATTTTTGCTTAGTTCATCTTAATTCTCATCCAAATGTAGTCATAAAATTTTTTTTTCATGCGTGTAATGTACACAGGTGGTCATTGATTGCTGGAAGACTTCCAGGAAGAACATCGAATGATGTGAAAAATTATTGGAACACTCAATTGCGGATCGATTCTGGCGTGAAAACGATGAAAAATAAATTCCAAGAAACGAGGAAGACCATAGCGATAAGACCTCAACCCCAGAAATTCATCCAAGGTTCATATTACTTGAACAGTAAAGAACCAATTCTGGACCACATTCAAGCAGCAGAAGATTTAAGTACGCTACCACAAACGTCGTCATCGACAAAGAATGGAAATGATTGGTGGAAAACCTTGTTAGAAGACGAGGATGCTTTTGAAAGAATTGCATGTCCCAGCCTTGAGTTAGAGGAAGAACACTTCAGTTGATGATATGCAACAGTCGTCAAGATCATGTGTCACTTTTCCTGAAGTAGGACAAAATAGAGGTGATTTCTCCTTTTACATGGACCTTTGGAATCATTCAAAAGAAGAATAGCTAGAGAAAATGGTTCCACTTCTTTAGTATCATCAAGCTTGCTTACTATTATTTTCTTTGCTCGATCGTACTAGTTTAGTATTGTCGTATGATTATAAAAAAAAATAAATAAATAAAAGCTCCCCCACCTTATTAAACATCTGTAAAATCTTGATATATATCTTTATTTGTAAAAATCACATAAAAGTTTCCAACAACCAGTTTGATTCTCGATTGGATGCGGTCGTCGTTGTAAACTTTTGCTACAATGCTTTTCTGTTTATTTTGTTCTGCAATAACTGAATCAATTTTGCAATTGAAAGCTAACTGAATACATAAATTTTTTTGATAAAATATATATATATATATGAGGTGAAAATAGTTTTTGAAATTGAAAATCGATGAATGTAATTCTTGAAAATAAATGTTGCAATGGTTATTCCATCGTAATTCTGTAAAAAAATTTGTTATGTGCTGCTTTGGCATATAATTTGGTCTCATAAGTTTAATTAAATATTTTTATGTTGAAATTTAAATACTGAATACACAAATTTTTTGTATAATTAAAAACTTGAAAAAAAAAAAAGAGTGGAATCTGCGTGGTTGCACAACCCAAACGATGTTCATCATCGAGTGCTCACCTGCCTCTAGTCGGTAGTCGGTGTACATCCAACGTGCCATTTCTGCCTCCAGCTGGTTATTTTCTACAAATTCATTTGGTTTTTGTCGAATCTGTCAACCATTTCGTCAAATATGAGGAAGAACACCGGCATGGAGGAGCCGTGCACGAGGGTCCCTAAGCTTCTGAAGATCATTCGCAGCCAAACGTACTGCAAAGGAGAAGAGCTGGAAAAGGGCAGGTTCTGTTCCTTCTCTTCTCCGCCTTCGGCAATGTCTTCGACTCCGCCGCTGTCTCTGCCTCCGCCACTGCCTCTGCCTCCGCCACTGCAGCAGCTCACCTTGTTATGATAAAAAGGCATAGCACAACGAACCCAACAAAAAGAAACAAGCTTTAGAATTTGAGATCTAAAGAACCCATCTTTTTTCCTTCCTCTCTCCTTTGTTTCCCCAAAATCCAATGACCACCACCCAAAGCTTTTTATCAAGAAAATGTTTTCTTTGGAGCAACTGAAGGACAACCCACAAGAACACTTGTCTAATACAAATTCAATCTGAAAAAAAAAAATCAAGGGTGAGAGAAACTCACTCTCGTATGAAAGAGTGTGACAAGCTGTCAAGGGCGATTTGTTCAAGGTGATCAGTGATGAGGCGTTATTGTATTATATATTTTACCCTAATCTTAGTATTAATTTATTGATTATTTTATTAGAATTTTGATACTTTGTTATGTATTTTCAATGTAGGATATTCGACTTCCTCTAAAGCAAAAAATGATGAAATGGACAAATTTTGGAGTGATTCAAATTGGAGGACGTTCATATATCTCTCAACTTCTTCGTGTCAAAATTTCAGCAATTTCTACCAAGCTGTTATTTTCTAGCAATTAAATAAAGAAACAGTGCGCATTGCTGGAAAGTAACATTTTTGGAGCCCAAGATGATCTCAGATAGGTTCATGGCCTTCTGGAGAAGTGTTCAGGATAGGCCAAGCTTTAAATCCAGCTATTTTGGGCCGGTTTTCGAGCTGATATGGGTCCAAAACATAGCTGTGAAGGAATTTGGGCGAATTTCCAAGTTAATTTAGAATTATGTTTCCTAATTTATTTTAATTTATTTGGTTTCCTGGTCTTATTCTAAGACCTTTTCTATGTAGAGTTTTATTGTGTAGTAGTATAAATAAGCCTTGTTTGTATCATACTTGACCAATCCCGAAACTATTGAGCACCGGTCAACGTTACCGTCAAGGACCCAGAAGAGTTTCCCTCCAACCAAGAGGCCAATCATAGCGCAACACGTGTCGACATCAGAAGCCAATCATAGCGCGACACGTGTCAACATCAGAAGCCAATCACAACACGACACGTGTCAATGTCAGAATGAAACTAGAAACTCTCTTCTATAAATAGAGATCATTCTCTCACAATATTTCCTAATGTCATTTATACTAAATCATTCACTAGTACTCACTAAAGGAGAGCTTAAACCTATGTACTTGTGTAAACCCTTCACAATTAATGAGAACTCTTTTACTCCGTAGACGTAGCCAATCTGGGTGAACCATGTACATCTTGTGTTTGCTTCCCTGTCCATATCCATTTACATACTTATCCACACTAGTGACCGGAGCAATCTAGAGAAAGTCACAAACTTAACACTTTCTGTTGTACCAAAGTTCTCACTGATTTTGTGCATCAACATTTGGCGCCGTGGGAACGACACTTATTCCCACTATCTTCAGCTTTGTCAAGCTGGTTTTTACCATTCGTACACTCTCTTTTGACCAGGCATCCCTCTCCAACATGGGGAGCGAAGGAAGCCACAACACACAGAATGACACTCATCTTGCACCTAGTGCGAAGCAACGAAAGAAGGAAGGAAATAGGGTTGCTCTTCAAGCTAAAGTCGATGAGCTAGAAGCTCAGAATAACAAGATAGCAATGAAGAATGAGGTTCTCCAGGACCAGTATGAGAAGCTATTTGAGACACTCCCCGAAACTAGGCATATGCCCTTGTGGACATCAACCATCATCAAGGTGCCCTCCAACATGGAGGGTCACCTTCATTCGACATGGGTATCCCCGATGAAAAGCGAGCTAATCATCAAAACATTGATCAACATGAGACATCTCTCAACCCAGCTACTTCGACCCAAAGCAGGAGAAGTGGAGGAAGATACCTTCTTGCAGAAGGGTTGGAAGGATCAAAAGCCATTTATCGTGACTGCCGAGACTTCCTTAAGCAACGTCGAAAGAATCCCCTCCACATATGCTCAAAGATCAATGACCCAAGGGTTTCTAAAAGACTCAGTCCCCTCCCACGACCCAGGCCATCTGCCAATCTAGGGAAGGAACGACAGGTCCCAGAGGGACATGAAGGTATAGGGGACTCTGAGGTATTCCGACAGACTCGCCCTAGAAATCAGTACGGCGAGTCTAAGGAAAAATCACACGCCTTTGCTCAAACTTTCCTACATCCAAAAGGCGATGGAGACTTACGAAAGAAAATCTCAGTGGTACATGACTCCACTCAGGACCACCTTGTCCTACAGCTCCTTGAAGAAGTAAACAAGTTGAAGGCCGAACGTCAGGCTGAGATACCTGATTGGAACCAACCCAGGCCTGGCACTCTCACAAGGAGGATCCTCGACACCCCCTTCAAGCAAAGACAAAACAAAAGCTTAGTTTACAACTTTATACTGGAAGGGAAGACCCAATTGAACACCTTAACCTCTTTGAGTCCACCATGGCATATTGGATGCACACCGACGAAGAGCGATGTCTTCTCTTCCCCTCCACCCTCTCTGGCGGAGCTCTAAACTGGTATTGTCGTTTTCCACCTGAGACAGTAGACTTATTTGAGGAACTGAGGAAACTGTTTGTCTCTTAACACATCTTCCAGACCGATCGCTTGCATTCTGCAGATGACTTGTACACTATTTGCCAGAAGCCGAACAAGTGACTACGAGAGTATGCCGGTCGTTTCAGCCATAAGTATCCTCGCTGCACTGAGGCAAATGACAAGACTGCCCTTAAGGCCTTCACGGCAGGCCTACGTGATTGTTTCTTCAAATGCATGATCAATGTCAACACTTGGAATACTTACTTTGAGGTGATGGCACAGGCTTACAACCATGCCTCCGCCGAAGCAAGGACATATCAAGGGAAACCCCCCACAACCACCCCTTATCAGCAAGTAGGGAGTGGAAGCCAGATCTAACCAAATGAGAAGACATCGACCTTCCAAACGGTAGCGGTGTCTCCCTCTATCTTACTTCATACTTTACCAAGTCAACAGACATATCAATCTCAGGGCAAAAGGAAAGATTTACATCCTCACCAGTCTCATTTTAGTAAAAAGAGTAAGGGACCGCAATAACCAAGGGTATCGCCATGATAATCCCCGATCCTAGGCAGTCAACACAGTGGGTCAAGCACGTGTTAGGATAGCCTCTACCTCGAGGTATGAGGCATACACACCTTTGAACGCCACATGCGTGGCCATTTACCTCAGCATAGCACACTTGATACCGAAGCCAAAGCCAATGCACCCAGATTACAAGCCCACGAAGAACATGAGCACGTTTTGCTGCTACCACGAGCATAACGGCCATGACGGCGAGAAGTGTATCATTATTCGTGATCATATTGAAGCTTTGGCACGTGAAGGAAAAATTGATCAATTCCTCATTCACCCTCCAAGGGGTAACCGTAACCAACGCCAGGTAAATGCGATATATTCCATAAGTGGTGGCACACTCATATCTAAATCTTCCAACAGGGCCATGAAAATAGTGAACGAGCTTTAAGGTCTGGCCACCAAGTGTTTCACGTGGAAGACATCAAGGGAGGTAAGTATCAAAAGCCTAACTGGGATCCAATATGGTTATACCCTGAAGAAGAAAGAGGTATCATCTACCCTCACAACGACCCACTGATCGTGGAAGCTCACATAGCCAACTTTGAAGTACGATGAATCCTGGTAGACATGGGGGCTTCGGTCAATATCATGTTTGTTGAAGCTTTCAGGGCACTTAATGTAGCTGAACACTTGCTCGACCGCTCAATTTGCCCTCTGATAAGCTTCTCCGGTGATATCGTGTAACATTTGGGGAACATACATTTACCTTTCACCATTGGTACTGGCCCTTACACAGCTACCATTACCACTAACTTCCTGGTGGTTGATTGCCTAACGGCATAAAATGTCATCTTCGGACGCACAAACATCAATGATCTTAAGGCCATGGTATCCACACATATGTTGTTGATGAAATTTCCAACCTCTTATGGCAATGATTACATCAAAGGAGATCAACTTAGTGCACGATCATGTTACAACACTTCGGTCAAGCAACAACACTTTCTATACATGACCAAGTCATAAAGACCAGCCCAGATGAAGCCAACTTGGATTTTCACGATGGCAACAGTCAACCTGACGATCCTCGAGATGACTTTTTCACCCAACAAGCACAACCCGCTGAAGAGTTAGAGAATGTCTATATCTCAAAAGATTATCCGGATCGCATGGTGAAAATTGGTACCACCTTGTCACCATTCATTCGGTTGGCATTGATCTCTTTTTTGCAAGAGAACACTGAGGTCTTCGCCTGGTCATATGGACATGCCAGGCATCTCTCCCGATATAATCTGTCATCACTTAAGTATTGACCCCAAGACCAAGCCAGTGAGACAGAAGCGAATATCTTATGACGCTGAACGGTACGAGGTAATGAAGGTAGAAGTTGAAAAACTCAAAGGCATAGGCTTCGTCCGCGAAGTTAATTATCCAACGTGGGTAGCAAATGTTGTCCTTGTTAAGAAGAATCTGACCAAGGAAAGTCTTCTGCTCCAAAATGTCTTATGGAGAATGTGTGTCGATGACACCGACCTAAACAAAAGATGCCTGAAAGATAGCTTTCCTCTTCCTCTCATAGACAGACTTATAGACTCTACGGTAGGGTGTGAACTCCTGAGCTTCATGGATGCTTACTCAGGATACAACTAAATCCTCATGAACCCTCCGGACCAAGAACACACAACCTTCACTACTGACAGGGGACTATATTGCTATAAAGTCATGCCTTTCGGCCTAAAGAATGCAGGAGTGACTTATCAGAGACTGGTCAATTCAATGTTCGCCAAACAGATTGGGAAGAGCATGGAAGTTTACGTTGATGATATGCTAGTCAAGAGCAAACATGCTGACCAACACATCACCAACCTATCTGAAACTTTCACCATTATGAAGAGGTATCGAATAAGGTTGAACCCCAACAAATGTGCCTTTGGCGTAGGCTCTGGAAAATTCTAGGCTTCATGATAAGCCAACAAGGCATTGAGGCTAATCCCGAGAAGATCAAAGCAATCCTCGATATGAAGGAACCGGTAACTTCAAAAGACATCCAGAGCCTTACTGGCAAGGTGGCAGCCTTAACTAGGTTCATCTTTAAGGCCACAGACAGATGTGCTCCTTTCTTTAAAGCACTTAAGGGAAGTAAGAAGTACATTACATAGATTGACGAATATGCTGAGGCA